GAAAGAGTGGGCAGGACACGGGCCATCGAACAAACAAAGGACACGGGCCCGGACGAGATATCACCGAGCCCGAGCACCTCCGCCCTGCCCACCTGTGCTGGAGAAATGGAAAAACTAGACAAAGGAAGAGGAGCCAGCCGAGATAGCCATCGGCTCCAGGATGGGTTCCACCACTCCACCTTAATGGCCCGGACCAAAATGATATCAAAAAGACATCCTGGACCTCTTTACATATGAGGAGCCTCTGCCCAACGTCTATTGACCCTATTCTCCGGTGCCAGGAAATTTATTCTTCGAACAATCAAGAACCTCTTAACAAAGGGTGCCTGCTTGGAATTTGGCCTCGGGACACAAACTTCCTATAAAAACCCAGGCCAAGGGACTCTCAGGCGTGGATTTGGGAGCACCTATACCTTGCGTATAGACCCTGTCCACCCAGCGCTGCACTGCTTATTTATTGTGGTTTTTCCTCATTGTTCGAATTTATTATTGTTTTATAATAAATTTCTCTTTTATATAACCCGAAATTGCCTTTGCATTTATAACAAAAGCATCCTTCATTCAGCTACCTCTGACTTCACAGGCCTGACCTCTTGGGCCAGGTTAATTCCCCTCCAGGCACCCTCTCCCAGCCTTCCCTCACCGAGCTGCAGCAAAGGCGATTGCTGGGCTCAGTCCTGCCCCGCTCTTGTGGTGATCTCACTTTGCCTTTGCACCTTCCAAGCAGCTGAGCACCCCCAGCTGCAGGGAGGTGTTGATCTACAGACTCCAAGTTGAACACAGCCCTCTGATGTGTTCACTTTGTCTTGGTCAGAAAGGAATCAGCCCTTTCCTTGATGTTTTTCCATCAGGCTTTCTTAAGAGACGTTTCCCCAGGGGTTGTGGCCTGGGTTCCTTGGCTGCAGCCAGGGGCTGATGCTCATTCCTTGGCAGCAGCTGCCATCCTGTGGCACAGTGGGACATCCCTCCTCCATGTGCCCCACACAGCCACCTCGCCATGCTCCCAGTGCCACGGCAGAGGTGCCTCCAGCCTGCCTGGGGTCATTTTTCACTGCCTTCATCCCAGGGCTTGCGAGTGACAGATGGCATTGAATTAAACAAACCAGCACTAATCACAACCCCGCTGTGGGGAGAGTTTTGGAGAGTTTCATTTCAAACCGGAACTGCTGCCGAAAGCCCCTTGACACGACCATGGGCAGAATTGGCCCCTCTCAAACTTCTGATGCACCAGATTTTGGGTACACCAGCCCAGCTACCCAAAGCTAGATAAACAGTTTTCTTCAAATACTAGAAAGGGTTTTGTCCTCCTATTAAGACCTCAGCTTTAGTGGAAGCCACAAAATCATAGAATGATTAGGGTTGGAAGTGAGAGGAATGATGAGCTTGTCTTTACAAACAAGCTGTGGGTCAGTTGATAAGATGTAGCTATCAGTGAGAGACGACAGAAACAATGGGATGGATTCCAGTAGAAGATCAAAGAGGCACTGAAAGAACACTATGAGTTCCATAAAAGTTAAGAAGGGATTATGCATTGGGGGTGGGGGGGGAAGGTACCCCAGGTGTCAGGCGTTCCGGGAAGCCTGTACCTCTCAAGTACCTCAGCCTATGGGGAAAGGGAGAAGGGACAAGCGGCCAGGAATTAGGATAAAAAGGAGGCTGCGCCCTCCAAAAATTTGAGAGACCCCAGGGGAATGCCCCATGGTCTCTCCCTTTATTTGAATAAAGAAAAAGGACTCCTCTGTCTCCTTTTTGGACATAAACCTCTGGTGTTCGTGGATTAATTTTCCTGACAAAAGAAACCGTAAAGACCATCCAGTTCCATCCCCCTGCCATACACAGGAAACCTTCCACAATCAAGTACATGTAGCCATTTATCCACAAAAATGGGGAAATCGAACCCCCTATCCTATTTTGCATTTCACAGAAATGAGCTTTAAGCTGCTTTCCACAGGTCCTGGGGCTGTTCCCCCCCAGGGCAGCACTGGAGCTTCCCCTGCTGAACTTCCCCAGGGTTCTCTCAGCTCTGTGTCCAGCCTGGCCAGGTCTCTCTGGATGGCAGCACCTCTCTGGGGTTGGTGGCACCTCAGGGCACCCTGCCCATGGTCCAGGGCATTAATTAATGATGATGTTAAACAAAATCAGATGCAGGATCAACTCCCAGTTACTGGTCTCCAAGAAGCCTTTGTGCCACTGATCCATCAGCTTTCAGTCCACATATCTTCAGCTTCTACACCCATATCAATCCACAAAAGCTCTGCTAAGCTATTTTTTTATTATTATTCTCACAGAGCTGAGCCTGTCCTGAGCTATGTTGGTATCAGACAGTGCCATGTCAGTAACAACAACAGGTTTGCGGATTGAAATCCAGGAAAGAGCTCAGTCAATTCACTGCCTTGTGAAATAGCTGAATATAGCAATAGCATTTCTTAGGAAAACTTACAGTGGGGATGTGTTTTACACTTAAAGCCACAGGGAATATACTAAATATACTCAATATACTTAAATATATATAATTGAATATATCTGTATTTTATACTTAAAGCCACATGGCAGGCTCAGCTGGACACCAGAATCCCAGGTCATGGCTGCTGGTTGGACTCAGGGATCACCTCAGATAAATGTGTTATGCCCAAGTTCTGGGGCAAGTGTTTTCCTCTCCCCAGTAAAAGAATCCACAGGTAGGCCTTTGGTTTTCCTCAGCCAGGCTTTCCTTCTGGCTCTTTCTTTCTCTTCCGTGGGCTTTGCCTGCTGTGCCTGATGCTGAGCTGCCACAGTTGCCTCCCACACCTCCTGCTCTGCTGTCAGGAGCCTGAGCCCACTGTCCCTGTGGGAGCTGTGGGGACAGAAGGGTTTTATTCTCCTGGGAGCTTCATTCCTCATCTGTGCAGCCATGCCAAGTGTTGGTTGGATCAGCTCCAAAGAAGCTGCAGAGAGATCGATGACCTGATCCCCATCTTTGGGGCCAGGAGTGTCTTTCCCATGGCCCCTGGGAATTTTCCTTTCTCCCAGCAAGCCACAAAACTTGGGACATACAAGACAGGGAGGAGGGATGGAGGATTTCACAGCGGGGCCATGCAAGGAGTTCTTCAGCCTGAGCCGCAGCCTTTTGGTTTCAAAGAGTGTGGAGATTCTTGTCATGGTGAGAGAATGGCTGTGCAGCCCGGCACGCCAGAGCTGCGCTGCCCGCTCCTGCTGCTGCTGCAGGGGCACTTCAGCCACTGGCACCTGCCCAGGGCACTGCTGCTGCACCTCCCTGGCCTCTGCAGAGAGCTCAGGAGTGGGGCTGGACACGGCTGGCTTGCAGGAGCTCTGCAGGGTGCCGATTGTTAGGAGGAACTTGTCAGGGGACATTGGACGGCTTGGGTTTCTCTGGGGCAGCTCATGCTCCAAAGTGGCTTCTGCCTCCTCTGGTGCAGGGGGAGCTGGGCCCTGTTCAGCTTCACCACCTAGAGCCAAAAACAAAGGAACACATTTGGGGTTCAGAGGCTTTCCCACACACTGCAGAGCATAGAATCAAAGAATCCCAGAGTAAACTGAGTTGGGGCAAAGCCACAGGGATCATCCAGTGCAGCTCCTGGCCTTGCACAGACCCCCCAACCTGGCATCCCTGGAGCGCTGTACAAACTCTCCTGGAGCTCTGGCAGCCTCGGTGTGGTGCCCATTCCCTGGGGAGCCTGGGCAGTGCCAACACCCTCTGGGAGAAGGACCTTTCTGTGATCTCCAGCCTGACCCTCCATCCCAGCTCCAACCATTCCCTGTGTCCTGTCTTTTACCAAGCAGAGCATCAGTTGGCATCTGCTGGCCTGAGAAGCAAGAACCTTTTCCTAGGCCATCAGAATCTGCAATGTTCAGTTTGTGGAGCTGGAGGATTTGTCATCACACTGTATTGAATAGCTCTGACTAAAAACAAAATAACATCCCTGTGTTACAATTGAAAAGGTGCCTGTTTCTGTGCAGTTGCCTTTCCCAGTGATAGCAGATCCTCAATGTAGGTGTTCTCTCACTTTCTCGGGTGTTTGCAATGAATAATTCAAGCCCTGAATCAGCAGCGTTGTTTCCAAGCCCACCAGCTGTGTGAATATGAATACTACTACTGATTTCTGTCTTACTCAGTTGGAAAATGACAGTGCCTGTCTTGAAAAATGTGTTGAATTTACACAAAACCCTTGTAAAAAGGCAGAAGAGTTTCACAGAAGCCTAGAAAATGACAGAATCATTGAAATGGAGCAGCACATCTGCTCTTGACAACAGCAGAGTCTGAATATTGACTGGGCTGACAGCAGTGGCTGCTTGGTTTGTAACCCAGGAAAAGCCAGAAAAGCAGAGGCTCAGTGTGATACTTTTGGGTCTTCCACGGCTCTTTGGTGACTTGTCCTGAGCTTGCTGCTGCTCTGCACTGGCACCTTGGCGCTTCCCCTTCCGGGGCTTCTTCTCCTTCTTCTGCACCTCTCTGTCAGTGGGTAGCGAGTAGTCCCACACCACATCCTCGAACTGGAGCAGCAGCAGTCTGCTGCAGGAGTTGGTCACCACCCTGGAGAAGGGAGGGAAGAGCCATAAAAGCACAGGAATCAGACACAGCACGTCCTGCCTGAGGGGCTCCTGTGCAACACAAACCCCAGGGCCTCAACAGATCCAGGATCATCTCTCCTTGAAGGAGCAGCAGCAATTAACCCCATCAATCAGACATTGCACATTTTAACTCGTGTTCTGTGTGAGTCTCTGGGGCTCTTTTCATTCAGCTCCATGGCAAAATTAATTTTAAAATACTTAGGATGAAAATCTCCAGCCGTGGACAGAGTAGTGCTAAAGGATGGAAGTACCTAACTACCAATACCATATTGCCAGGGACATCTAAGAGTGGATTGAAGAGCTGTGCTGGTCTGGATGGGATGGAGTTAATTTTTTCCCAGCTGCCCATTTATTGCTGTGTTTTAGAGTGTGGCCAACCCAGCCTTGAAACCACAACAGTGTTTTACCCATTGCTTGCACAGAAGCTGGAAGCCACCTTTAGTAAGAGGTGCAAAAGTGAATGAACCTGGAAGGATTTCTCATTATTGGCCATTATAAAGAGGCTGTAGGTCAGGGAACAGGCAGAGACTGTCAGGCGTTGATTCTCTAAACTCCTAAAAATTTCTGGATTCAGCTTTACTGTTGGGTCTGTATCTTCTGCTATAGAGAAACAGAAAATTGTACATTGCTGAAGAGACTAAGGAAATCTCAGCCATTATGAACTAAACCAGACTACTGAAGCAGTTAATAAATAGTGGAGCCATTTAAAAGTTATTTGTGAGAAGGAAAAACACACCGTTCTTGAATTTTCAGTGTAATCTACCAAATTTGGGTCAGAGCCTGCTGGCAGCTGCTGTCACCCACCTGTTTCCTGCAATGTAGAGATCAGACACGGGGTCCCTGCTGCTGCTGGGCTCCAACACTCGGAGGCAGGTTCCAGTCAGGAAGTTGAATATCCGAATGTGTCCATCAGCACAGCCGCTGATGACTCTGAGGTACAGGAACTCCAGGGACAGGACTTCCCTGGAAACACACTGGGTGAGGGTTGGCACTTGCATGGGGCTTACACAAGGAGATAAGGTCCTGAGGAGAAGCAGAGCTCTGGTTGCAGCCACAATCTGCATTGAGGGGCTGATCAGGACATTGCAAAGCTCTGACAGAGAGGTCTCAGATCACTCCACATCCAAACCAACAGCCCAGTGAATCCTTCCACTGGAAGCTGTCCCTGCCTATGGCAGGGGCTTGCAATGAGGTGATCTTTAAGGTCCCTTCCAACCCAAACCATTCTGGGATTCTGTGATTCCATGCTCCCCATAGCAACCATATGGTCATGGCCATCTGCTACATTTGAAATGTCAGTTTTGTGTCCAGGAAAATCAGTGAAAACCGTATAATTCTCCAGTTTTCACAGTTCTAGATACAATTAAAGTTTGAGAGAATGGCATAACACGCAGTTGGTCAGCATGAAACCGGGCCACCTCTATTCCTGCCCAGGTAAGTGACACCTGTGGCACACAGTGGGGGATCCTCGGAGTATTGGACTGTACTCTGTCATTAGTCATCCCTGGTTGTGATAAAATGTTGTGGCTTTGCATTTCAGGTTGTTCCAGGTCTTTACTGAAAATACTGCTTGTGATCATGTGGTGCCTGACAGAGCCTTTGAGACAAAGACTGGTGAAAGTGGGGCTATTTTCAATCCTCAGACTGATAATTAAGGCATTTTCTAGTCCTGTAAGGGTCACATTTTCTTTACAGGTTCAGTCCACTGTTGAATACAACTTGAAACACATCTGATTCCTACTTGGGATGGAAGAAAGCTATCAGGCATCTCCTGAATTTTCCCAGCATGCTCCATCCCAGGGCATATCCATCACTGCTCCCTGTGACGAGGTGCCACTGGTCAAAGGACAAGCAGAGAACTGGGCCTTGGTGCCTCTCTAATGTCTGTAAAGTAAAAGAAGAAGGTGCAACACTAAGAGTAATCTGCATGTAAATCTGTCTGGAGTGTGCCATGGCTGTCAGGACACCAGCCTGATATGGTTTTACAGGGTGTAATTGTACCGGCACACCCTATGGATAATTGTTTTATAGTCACTGAAATGTTCTGGATGCTGCTGCTGAGCTCCTGGCGTGGAATAACATCCCTTTTCCATCTTTATTACATGTGATAAAGAGAAGTTATTCCACCTTTGTGGTCTCTGGAATGTTGTCCCGGGAGGGAAGAGGGGGCTGCCCTGGCTGTGGGGGAAGGTGCTCAGCTGGAGCTGGGGTATCTGAGATTCCTGGTCTATCTCGCCATTTCTCCACAGGTAAAGAGCTTCCCTCCTCTCTCAGGGGTGGACTGACACTGACCCTGGACACTGGATCAGGGAATTCACAGACTCAGTGCTCCCACAGCTGCCCAGCTGCTTCAGCTCCAAAATCTGCTTCTGAGAGCAAGGTTCCTGGTTTGGGCTGACCCCTGGTGCCTCCAACCCCAGGTTAGTGAAGCTCTCCTATCACCTCCCCAGATTCAGGAGGTTTCTATGGAGCAGAGATGAACAAATCTACATAGAGCAAGCAGTGATGGGGAGGAAGCAAATTACACCCTGCGTTAAAATCAGCAGTGTCTGAAAACTGGCTGCAAGTCAGTTTTTAAATTATCTGCAGTTTCCTTGATTGGTTTAGGCTGCTTTGGGGGTTGTTTGGGGGGTATTTGGTGGGGTTTTTTTAGAAAGCCTTTGGCAAATGCAAAAAACTGATGAACTAGAAGAGAGTTTTGACCATTTAGCACAGAATTATCCACCCAAGAGGAAACTCACCTTGATCAAAGCCCCTGTCTCAGCACTCCAGACCTTCACCAGCCCTTGGTGACCCCCACTGACCACATGGGTCCCGTCCATCCTCACTGCCCACACAGGGCTGTTGTGCATCAGAGTCCTGAGACAATTCCCACTTTTCAGGCTCCACACTGCTGGGGCAAAAGGGAGAAGAATTAAAAGCACATCTGCCCCAATGATGAGTTTTGGGAGTACAATATGCATTCAAAAATACTGGTGAATTACAGTCACACCTTGTACCTGCAGCTCTGTGAGGAGCTGACTGTTGGCTTAAAAAGCATAATTGCATGGCAAAACATTTAAATGAGAAGTCCAGAAAAAACACATCTTTTTCACCTTTATTCTATAAGGAAACATCTGGCAAAGCTGAAGGTTAATACCACTTGCCCAAGAGTTGGGATGGCATTATAGCCATTAATTCTGAATAAATTCACAAAACCATTAATTCTGAATAAAAGCAGAAATAATGAGAATTTAGTCCCTGACACAATCAGAGACTGTGTGTACATGTGTCCCCAGCTTAGGCCCTTGTGGAAACACCCTCTGACTCACAGCCTTCCTTCCACCCTATCCCTGTGTCCCACTGCCCCAGCTCCCTGCCCTCTGCCCGTTGTCCTGCAGTGATTCTCTCTGGCTGGGAGCTCCCAGGGCTGCCTCTCACCTTTCACCATCCCATCCCCAGCTCCGGACACAACGTGCTCCTGGTGGGAGTCCAGGCAGGTGACTGTGGCGTAGTGACCCGTGAAGGTTCTCACACAGACACCGCTGTGAATATTCCAGCACCTGCAGAGCGCCGACCCAAGAGAGGAGAAACCAGATGGACTCTGAGATTCCTTCCATGTGATTCCATTATTATTTCCTATTTAATGTGCCCAGCTCTGCTCCCACACACCAGGTTAAAATCAGGAGCTGTTCCACTGAGGCGTCGAGAAATCACAGCGATCAAGTCAGGCTTAGCATTAAGATTTTACCCCTACCCTTCCCTTTGCTCTGGTTTTGCCAGGGGCTGGGTGTCCCAGGCACGGCCCCAGCTCACCTGAAGCTGAGGTCGAAGCTGGTGCTGCTGAGCAAGAGCCCCTTGTCATCGCGGAGGCACAGAGCTCGGACGGGCCCAGCGCGGCTGTGCAGCAGCAGCGGCACGCGCTTCCCTGCTGGCACTCGGAGCAGCCTCACGCCTCTGCTGCCAGCGGCCACCCAGTCCCCGCCTCTGTAGTGGGCTCTCCTTCTCCTGTCGCGTCTGGACAGAAGCAGTGCTGGGGTGAGCTTGGGCCAGCATTTCCCTGTGTTTAACTGAGCAGGGTGGGCAGCACTCCAGGGGGGAATCCTTTGCAGGGCACCCACAGTCCCAAAATCTGCACATCCCCCTTTGGATCAGGGTGGACAAAGGGGTGAGGGCTCCTCCCAGCCCCATATCCCTTGGGATAATACACCATGGATCCCTAAACCTTACTCCTGTAAAAACAGCTTATCTTGGTATCTTTACTTAAAACATGGAAATTTCTTAACACTGACACTGAGGGACCCTTCTCCAGCCATCCAGGAGGATCACAGGGAAGGGAACAGCTTTCCTAAAGCTGCTCTTGGCTCCACAGCTGGGCACTCTACTCACTGGTCCAAGAGCACACGCGTCTTGTAGGGGCCACAAAAGACATTCCTCTCTTCCAGCTCGATCTTTTGAGTTTTCAGTTCTCGATAAGCCTCGTGCAGACTGAAATCCTCTGTCTGATGGCAAGAGAAATAAGGAAAAGTAACTCAGGGAGGCAGGAATGCAGCATTATTCCATAGCACTGAACATGTCAGCTCTAGGGATGAACCCAGTGCAGACCCAGAGTGTTGGTAAGGAAAACCAGCAAGACCCTGCTTAGTCCAGGGTTGTTTCCAGGCTCTGTTCTGTGGCATAAATGGAAACCCTGAGAGCTGCACCCTTTATTCTGTGGGGAGCAGGCCCCTGGGCCCAGGTTTGTGCCATGACTGGGGACACACAGGGAATGAGGCAGAAGTTCGGGAATGCCTCCCGAACTCCCTCCCATGTGGGAAGGTGCGGAGCAAGTCCTGGTCTCTATGAACTGCTCACGATGGGGCAATCCAAAAGCAGGAGTGGGAAAGAACAAAGCAATTCCAAATTCACTGTGCTCTCTTCCAAGAGCTGTCCTCTCTCCTCCCCAAACCCCAACATGCAGCATCTGTGGAAGGCAAACAGCCTCCAACAAACCTTTGATTTATATCTCTTGGTCTGCTCCTTGGCCTTCACTTCAACAACCTCACCCTCATCATTTAACTGGGGAATTTGCACATCGACTCTTTTAGCATAGTTTGGAATGGCTTTTCTAGGACACAATTCCTGGAATAAACCAACAGAGACAACAGTTACAGCAGAGCCCAGGCATGCAGGGCTGCTGCTCCTCTCCTCAGGATGCTGAGGTTCCCTGCAAAGCTGAGCTGCACACACTGGCTTGTTGTTGAGACCTGGCTTACATTTAGCACTTTATCTACCTAAGGTTTAACTTCTGGTGAAAAAATAATTCCTTTTTATTATTTTTTTCCTAACTCTAGTCTTAATCCTTTAATAAGCAGCAAAAGTTTGAGCTCATCTCATCTTTGGCAGGCACTCGGTTGATTCAGAATTCAAACTCACTGAGATGAGAAGCTCTCAAAACACCTTGGTCAACACTCAAGATTCATTTTTAGCCTGTGAAAGCTCCCCTGAAGCCTTTTTTGAAGGCCAGCACAGAGCTGAGATTCTGTGCTCCCTTCACAACCCAAAGCAGCAGAGGCTTCAGACTGTCTCTTGGGGGAGACTCCTTCACACCTTGCTGGGTCTGTGGCAGGTCCTGCTGGCCAGGAGTTCTGCATTCCTGTGTACCAACCTCCGGCCCCAGCTCCTCACAGACACCTGGCATGTCCCTTGCCCTGTGTGAAGCAGGTGAAGCTCATTCCTGAGCTGCCTTGGGAGCGGTTGTAACTCTGCCCAGCCTCCACTATCTGTGGAAATTTTCATTGTGAACTCTGCTTTCCTGAAGAATGTTTGGATCCATTTTTAGAGTCACAGGCTCTCTAAAGGAGAGTAAAAACCATTCTCTGGTGCTTCTTTGTGACAGTGTGAAATGTCACCTGGCTTTGCTCTGCAGCTGGAAGTGGAAGGGCTGTGGCAGAGTTGGGGTCAGCCTCTGGTACAGGAATTTCCATTTAACAGCTTGGGCAGCAACAAAAGCCCCTCTTTTAGACGTGCATCATAATGGCAGGAGCCCAGGTGTCCCACCTGCAACTGCAGGAGGTCCTTCTGCACTGTGCTCCGACACTCCTGGTCCTCCCGGACCTGCCTGACCAGGAATTCCCAGTGGCCATTCACAGCAGAACAGGCATCCAGGGATTTTTGATCCAAAAGCCCTGGGAAGTTAAAAGGGAGAGGATGGCTAATCCCCACTGGAAACCATCCCTTACCCCTGGGGGAAGTCACTGGAATATCAGAGCAGCTTTACCCAGGATGGACATGGACAGGTGGAACGGCAGGATGCGAGTGAAATCCTTGGGCTGGCTGACATCGGAGTGTGACTGGAGAGACGCAGGAACCATAGTGGCACCTGCATCAGCTAAGGACAAGGGTGAGCTGTCCCCTGCATTGGGACTTTCCTGGCAGGGCACTCAGTGTTGTGGGGCCAATAGCTTGGCACCGCCAACGGTACCGGTACTGTCACCCCCAGCGGCACACCCAGCGGTACCGGTACCGTCACCCCCAGCGGCACACCCAGCGGTACCGGTACCGTCACCCCCAGCGGCACCCCCAGCGGTACCGGTACCGTCACCCCCAGCGGCA